TAGGGTTACCATATCTATTAAATAAAAAAAGAGGACCCTCCACGGGCCCTGGCCCCGCCCATTTCACCACCCCAGCCCCGCCCTAAGTCCGCCCCTTCCCCGCCCTAACTCCGCCCCCTCCTCCCTCCCACTCCCAGCCACGGGGAAAGGGCTGCCCCAGCGCTACCGGCTTCACGGTTTGCCGGGCAGCCCCCAGACCCTGCGCTTGCCCAGCGCAGCTGGAGCCCGGGAGGGGAAGCACCCAGCCGGGGGCGCAGGGTCTGGAGGCTGCCCGGCAAACCGTGAAGCCGGTAGCTCTTGGGCTTTGGGCAGCCCCCTTGCCTCCGGACCCTGCGCCCCCAGCCGGGCACTTCCCCTCCCGGGCTCTGGCGGCGCAGGGTCCGGAGGCACGGGGGCTGCCCGAAGCCGGTAGCGCTCGGGCAGCCCGGCTCTTAAACAGAGCCGAAGAGTCAGAGGAGGAGCACAGCCGCCATTTTCCCGGACATGTTCGGCTTTTTGGCAATTCCCCCCGGACAGGGGTTTGAGTGCCGAAAAGCTGGACATGTCTGGGAAAAAGAGGACGCATGGTAACCCTAATTTTATAAGGCTTTTACTGTCACTGCCTCCCTTCCCTTCAACAAGGGATCTTGTCACTAAGTCAGACTCTTGAGAGCAGTTAGTGGTTATACCTGCCACTGACTGTAAATCCTATGCCGTAACTACTGTGGGAATGTTCAACCATTTTTGGAGGTCCTGTGCTTCCACTGGTAAAATAGATGAGCATTGGGTCTCGACTCTTTGTCTTGACGCAGTTATGATCAGCCGGTGCCACCCTGTGGAACACATAATTCCTAACAGTGACTATATGCACTCTTTTCTACAAGAGCTCACAATATCTGCTACAGTTCAGACAGTAACAGAGCAATGCTGGGTTCGGTTACTAGTCTTACAAAATAACCAGCTGCACCAGGTATGACTCTGTAGAATACAGCAATACAGACTAACTCCAGGGATTCTGCTATTCACAGACACCGTGCCTCCATGTGTGAGCTCATGCAATCTAAGATATGAGAACCAACGGCATATTCTAGTGGCTTTTTCTATAATTATTTACTCAGAGAGGTCCAGGGGCTCAAAGCTGAACAGAACTCACAAGGAAAAACAGTCACGGCCCCACAGAACTCACAGTCTAAGGCTCTGATCCAAAGTCCAGTGAAGTCAAGGGGATTTTTCCACTGACTTCAGTGGGCTTTGGATTGGGCTCTAAAAGACAGGCACAGAAAAGATAAGTTGCAAAGGGAGGCTTCGGGGTTGTAAATTGCTCTTCTGTGGGCATTGTAGAAACAGTAGCAAGCCGTGAGAAGGTGGTGGTCTGACAAGAAGGTGGGTAAGTTGCTGCACACACATGAGGCAACCGGGACAAAGGTGTGGAATGGGAGAGGGAAATGATTGGGGCTTTGTGGCTGGTGGTGTTGACAGAATGGAGCCTGGGGGAAAATGCAAAGACAGAAGCTCTAAGGCACAGGCCAGGAGAGAGCTCTTCAGGGCCCTGGAGGCAAGGAGGAGAAATTAAAGTTAATACAGTAACTAGAGTGAGTGAGTGGAGGGATGGCAAAGCTTTTCATTCAAATCTTCCAAGGGGAGCAGCGGGGGCAAAAAACCTAATTCAAGACTGAGCTTGATAAGTTTATGGAGGGGATGGTCTGATGAGACTGCCTACAATGGCATGTAGCTGATCTGTGACTGCTAGAAGCAATATCTCCAATGGCTGGTGATGGGATGCTAGATGGGGAGGGCTCCGAGTTACTACAGAGAATTCTTTCCCAGGTGTTGGCTGGTGGGGCTTGCCCACATGCTCGGGGTCTAACTGGTCACCATATTTGGGGTTGGGAGGAAATTTTCCCCCGGGGTCAGATTGGCTGAGACCCTGGAGGTTTTTCGCCTTCCTCTGCAGCATGGCGCATGGGTCATTTGCAGGTTTAAACTAGTGTAAATGGTGGATTCTCTGTATCTTGAAGTCTTTAAATCATGATTTGAGGACTTCAGTAAATCAGCCAGAGGTTAGGGGTCTATTACGGGAGGGGGTGGGTGAGGTTCTGTGGCCTGCAATGTGCAGGAGGTCAGACTAGATCAGAGGTTCTCAAACTTCATTGCACCACAACCCACTTCTGACAATAAAATGACTACATGAACTGGGGGGGGGGCGCAGACGGAGCCTGAGCCCTGCTGCCCCGGGGGGTGTGGGGGAGGAAGAGGAGGCTGCAGCCCAAGTTCCACTGCCCTGGGTGAGGGGGGAGCTTGGGCTTCAGCTTCTGCGTCCCAGCAAGCCTAATGCTGGCCCTGGTGACCCCATTAAAATGGGGTTGGGACCCACTTTGGGTTTGTGAGAACTGCTAGACTAGATGATCATGATAGTCCCTTCTGACCTTAAAGTCTATGAGTCTATGCTAGAAATGGATTCCTCATCAGTAGCTAACTGATACACCTTGCTTTTGTTTAATCTCAAAGTGACATTGCTAAAACAGCTGATACCTACTTGAGTAGCTCTTGAAAGTTCAGCCACCCATCCTTGCTGCCTTCAGAAACAATTAGCTTGCTTTTCAGAAACTGGCAGTCAGGCAAGACAGAATCCACTGCAGGTGCCAGTGTGTCATTGGTAATGATGCACTTGGCCTTCGAAGCCTGGAGTCTATAGAAAATGTCTTTGGCCCTTAATTGGGATGTTCCTGGAATAAAGACAATTCCTAGAAAAGAGCAACAATGTTATTTTTCTAAATTGGGGATGAATTTTTAAAATGCTTTTAGTGAGGTGACAGTAGGCACACCAGCCGCAGAGAAATGGAGTCACTTATAAAGAGCCCACCCCTTAAAGAACACACATGAAGGTCATATTTATGATATGATGGCAAAGTCCACGTTAAGAATGAACAAGCAATTATTTTAGATCATGAGTAGAGATGGCCCAAGTTACCAACTCTCAGTCAAGATCTTGAATATACCAAAGTTGAAGATGATTAGAGCTGGGGTTTGATGCAGCCCATTTAAGAACATAAGAACGGCCATACTGGGTCAGACCAAAGGTCCATTTAGCCCAGTATCCTGTCTTCCGACAGTGGCCAATGCCAGGTGCCGCAGAGGGAATGAATAGGTAATCAGCAAGCGATCTATTCCCTGTTACTCATTCCCAGCTTCTGGCAAAGATTTAAAAGATTACCTCCTCTGTATTACATACAACAGTCCTGTTCATACACTGCAGAATTATATCAGCCTTTGTTGCAACTGAATCACGTTGTTGACTCATTTGTGATCCACCATAATGCCCAGATCTTTTTCAGCAGTACTACTGCCTAGCCAGTGATTCCCCATTGTGTATTTATGCATTTGGTTTTTCCTTACCTTTGCTCTTGTCTTTTCTGAATTTCATCTTGTTGATTCAAACCCATTCTCAATTTATCAAAGTCCTTTTGAATTCTAATCTTGTCGTCCAAAGTGCTTGCAACCCCTCTCAGCTTGGTGTCATCCACAAACCAGTGGCATACTGTCCACTCCATTATCCAAATCATTAATGAAACTATTGACGAGTACTGGACCCAGGACAGACTAGTACCATTCAATACATTCATTAATGAATTGGATGATGGAGTGGACCGCATGCTTATAAAATTTGCAGATGACACAAAATTTGCAAAATTATAACAGCAACGTGTTAGCCCAAATTGTTTAACTGTTTGGTTATATCAAATTAATATATTCTGCTTTCAGTTATAATATGCTTGGCCAAACCTGGCCTTTAATTGAAGCCACTGGGGGTGGCATGGTTGTAACAGAGGGCTCCATATTTGTACAGCTTCTATCACAGTGGGGTCTTGGTCTATGACTGAGGCACTACTGCAGTACAAAGGAACAACACTACTACTAATAATTAGGCACATTGGCGTAGCAATTCATTAATTTACATACTCTTCAAATTAACTTGGTGACTTTCAGATCTCTTTAGTTTATTTTCATTCTCCACTACATTCAGTAATATCCAAATATTTTTACTAACCTGTTCGCATACAAGCCACATTCAGTATCCACCACTCTGGTATCCGAGGTAGAATCACTATTACTCGGTCTCCTCTTTGCAATCCACATGGGTCAGAAAGCACATTGGCTGCTTTTCTGGACAGAAATCCCAGCTCCTCAAAGCTCCACTTCACCTCATCTCCCTTATCATTTATCCACCAGAAAGCTGCAGTCGCAGGTCTCTTCCCATCCTAGCAGAAAACTCAAGAAGTTAAAATAAGCAACGAAATATGAAATGGTTTAATGTAATGTTATAACCCAAAGGTTCAATTCTGATCACTTCATGTATATCTGGGAGTTCACTATGGAGATCCAGTCTAACCCCTCGTGTATATGTCACACACAGTTTTCTGTTCCATAATCTTTATAACTAATATAGCATCATTTTAGTCTCAGATGGGTTTGCTTCCATACTCATGTAATAGCCAATGGAAGGTACAGCTGCTAGAAAACACCAGTGGCATCAGGCAGCCAGTCTGCGTTAGAACAGCGCTTGTGCTGTTCTGACTCAGAGCAGGAGACCAGAGCTGCCCAGAATGGCACAAAAGTCAGGAGAATCTAAGGATGAGCTTCACACCACCTCTGTACCCACCCCAGCCTGTACTTTGTGCATTTCAGCCAGACCCAGCGTCTGGCCCCTAGTGTCACCCTACATAGATTCATCCATTTTAAGGCCAGAAAGGACCATTAGGATTATTTAATCTGACACTAAGAAAGCACAAGAACAAGGACCACACGTAACTAGTGGGCTGATCCCTTATTGTTACAGAGAGATAGCGAGATCACGGTGTATCTAACATTAAAAGGCGAATTATCTTTTGTAGCTGATGCCTTAAAGATACAAAGATTTCTTAGACAGAAAAGAAAATAAAGGATCAGTTCTTCAGCAGGTATAAATCAGCATCTCTCTTCTATAGTTGATTTACACCACCTGAAGATCTGGCCCAATATCTGTGATGTAAAAGAACTGCTACCTTTTCCAGCTGAGACCATTTGTCTAGGACATCACTTGCAAAGTTGAAGTGTTCTGGCAGTTCCCGTTCACACCGGTTTATAGATTCATAGTGTGAAACCATCTGAGACACAAGACGCTTGTTATCTTTGTGGAATAATCTAGAAGGTGACTGGGGAGTCCACACGGACTGGAGAATTCGTAATTTAAATAAAGTCTTCATGATGCTGACTTATCCCACTGTGTGAAAAAAATCAATGAATATTCGTGGTGGATCATTCACCTGCAATGGAAAAAACAAATAACAAAAACCAACAGCCACACCCTGAAAGCTGTCTAATAAGCACAGTTGGATAAGTTAATGCAAACAGAATACAAACTGTGGACAATCTGTGCCCCCACTGGACTTTGTTATTTTAAACTGAAATTTTCTACCTTAATTATTATTGTGAGCTTGTAAATAATCACAGGAACATTTTTCATTAGCATATTTATCATCAGCATTATCAAGTGGGGAGTACAACAAACACTTCACTTTCTAGTCCATTTTTTCTGGTCTGATTCTCCATTCACATCAGTTTTAGACCAGTGGAATTCCATTGACTTCAGTGGAGTGACTCCTGATTTACACTGGTGAAAGAGGCAAAACAGACCTAATCTTGTCAATCTTGGATGAGATTTAGCTGCTTATGGAAAAGTGCTATCAAAACTGTACAGTGCCATCAGTTGGAAAGTGTGTTGAGCTCATAGCACTTGGACAGTGACATTGTGGGAGCCACAAGTCCTTACCATAGCTCTGCATTCTAATGACACCATCACACTAAAAGTAGGCCTATATGACTTTGTTATTCCCCCAACATACACTAGATGGCGATTCACCACACTGAACACCATGCTGACAAACCTTTTTATATTTGTATATTGTACTTTCTTTCCAGTTCTACTTTCTGTAGAGGATGGGAAGTTAATACATCTTTCCATTTTAGAGAGGACTGCATGACACATTTTAAAAGGTTTTATATTGCTCTTTTAAAGTTTACCCATTATTTCTTTGAACAACTTCTTCAGATGTCTTTATTTTTCACAGTTAAGAGACAATGAATCCATGCTGTACCCACCTCTGCTGAAGTAACAGAAGGAGGCTGAAGATGGTATTTTAAAGACATCTGCACTCCTTTGAGTTCAGATTGGGAGGATAACTTTGCAGAGATACAAGTTGTAAGGTGTATTTTATATTTAAACAAAACAATTTTTAACTCTACATCACCCTCCCTGTCCTCTGATCTGAATAATGCATAAGAACATATAGTACAGAGAGAAGGATGATGAGGTTATTAAAACTCAGCTTCAGATGTCAAGACACCCAGGTTCTAGTCATGGCTTTGCCACAGACTTCCTTTCTGAACATGGGCAAATCGCTTAGGGACTGACTCAACTCCATTGAAGTCAGTGGGAACCTTCCCATTGATTTTAATGGAGTTGGACTTGATAAAATGGGTAATAATATTTATCTACCTCACAAAACTACCGTGAGGCTAAATAAACTGATGTTTGTACGTGTGTTGCAAGCCTTAGATGGAAGGTGATAACTCAGGGCAAAGTCTTTACCAAAAGTATCGATAAGAGTAATAATAATAAAATACATTAAATCACTTTAAAAACTCTTTATTTGAATTTGGTTTCAAAGGAATTTTTAAAATATCAAAATATATGGGGCAATGGAGGCAGGCGGATACAGATGGGGCCCAAATGTCTGCATGTTGCATTTGACTCATATCCCAATAAGGGTATCACATTTTAACATGAATGACCATTTAAAAAGAACGCTTACCAAGAAGTATGTATGTATATATATAACATTAACTTTTTATTTTACCTCACCCAACTGACATGGCTACAACACTGCATATAACATTAATTGTCAGCTAACATTCTAGTTCTGCAGCATTTACTATTTCCATAGCTCTCTAAAGACATAAAGCACTATTTCCTATAACCAGAGCTGTGCAAAAGTACTGACCATTTTTGCTATTTTGTTGTGAATGATTTTTACACCCTTGAATTTTCAATTTTCTGCACAATTCAGCAAACAGATTCTCTTCCCCACTGCCAACTGGCCCCAGCAGGCCTGCTTCCTAAACTACCCTGCTTTACTCTAACCTCTTTCCATCACTTTGAGGTCAACAACCTTTCCCAATATACTGGGTATTCACTGATAAGGGGTCTTCCTGAAGGATTTCGGTTACTTATTACTTGTTTCAGTGGCAGACAGTGAAAAGTAACCACTTGAACAAATG